ATCAAATGTTTTTTTTTATTAGTAGTGCTTTCAATCTTTTTAGAGAGTTTTTTTTAACTCCACAATAAAAACATATTTTAATTGATAAAAAGGCTATTAGACCTGAATTACTTAGGTTCTTGGTTATACAGCGGTCTTAATTAACTACACTAAGACATGCTGTGAGTTATCTTGTAATAGTGTTTTCCCATTTGAACAAGGATTTAATAGTGTTATAAAATAAATGTTTTTTTTTTGTGTAAAGGATGGCAGTAATTGTTTTTGTTAACCCCTTTTTACCCCAATATCAATTATTTTCACACTAATTAACAAATATTTAGGATATTCCATTCAAGGGGTGTAATTTTGACGTAAAGGGGTATTTTTATCCCCTCCCCCTGTAAAATATTCGTCTCTCACACCTCCGTCACTGTTTCTATCTTTCCTTTATTTTCAGTCCAATAATTGTGGAAGTAAGCTATAAATATCCTTTCGACTTCAAGCGTGCGATGAAAAAGAGCAAGTGTCGTCTTACTTGTGTCGCATTTTTGTCGACACGTCGTCGCATCTGATAGTAAAACCGTCCACATGTCCTAGTAATAAACATCCAGCATCCACCACCTACTTTGAGGCTCCCATGGCGATAGTAAACTGCATCTACAAATTATGAGACTTTATTGAGTGCCAACGTGTTTCTGAAAATAGCCTTCTCTTTGCTCTCTAGCCTAACTGACTAACGTCGGGGACGTAGAAAGGAGTAGAAATTCTCTACTAATGATTGTATAGTCTGTATGATGTAACCTGTCTCCTGACCCGTCGTATACCTGGGCTTGGCCTGGTTCTTTAATATAGACTATAGAGTTTTAATGATTATCTAGGTCTGATTTGGTGAATGGAACTAAATATCTCACCAGATGTTGTTTGTAGTCAATGTAAGTAGCATAGCACTTTTAATATTCTTCCATACTTAATAATACTAATACTGCTTTGAAACATACTTCATCTTGAAAAACCTAAAGTATTTAGTAATTCAGCAGTAAATTAATTTATACGAATTCAAAAGTAATTTTGGATAGTTCAAACACAATATGACTTGTGAAAAAATGGCAAAAGATAGATGTCCGGAACCAGTTTGTTAAGTGAAATGAAATAAATCAATATTTCGTAGGTTAGGATCAGAGGTAAAATTGGTGTATAAATCTTGTTAATTGGAGTGGCGAGCGGAATGCGCACAAGACTCTTCGGCCATTCGTCGTTTTGTTATCACAGTCATCTAAGCCATAAATCTTTTTATATTTTATTTTAGCCTGAAACAATTTTTACACACAACCTGTAAACATAACCTCAGGCTATATCTAAAGGATTGCATATCACATAAATTAAATCCATTTGTGATTGCTGGAATTTAAACACGGGACTTCTGGGACTGAAATTCTGCGTTATACACTAGAGCAGTTAGTTGCCCTCTGTAATCCATTGACATAGGTTTAATTTAATACCACCAGCCTCTAGGAGTGTGACACACAGTGCTGTTAGAGTCTCTCCCACACCCCACCTGAACACCATCCTATTTGGCATGACCGATACCATTGACAATAATGAACAAAATGTGGCTACGATCAAGGATAATATCTTTGTAGGCCAAAGGAGGAAATCTTTGAACCTTAGAAGTGTAAGTCCATTTTAAACCCTAAAGTAAATTAAAAGTTTTTTGTTCGGTCATTAAGATTCAAACCCCTTTTAATTCAAGGACATGGGGACAATAAAGACTACTACTCAATAATAATGGACAGTTTGGCAGTCCTATTAGTTTATATTTTCTAGTATTATCCTTGTTCTAACATGAGCAGATGATACCCAAAACCACACAACTAAAAGGTATAACTATTGGCTAACAGGACGAATCAAATTTCAATAAAAAATTTCAAACACTTTCGAACCAACTCGACTCATACTAAATATTTTTCTATATTGAAAACCTGACTTATAAAAATACTATACAAAAACTGAAAACACTTACAGTAATTCTCATGAACCACATTCAAGAGTACAAAGTGTCTCATCCTCCAGACAAATTAAACATTAAACATAATTAGTTTCATCACAATGACACCTGCAGTGACTATAATCTCAGACGTTCCTTTGACATGCAAACCACATACGAAGGCTTAATTAAAACCGGAAAGCAGTTTAATTAAAACACCACCCATACAGCGCAACAGGAGCCAACAGATGAAATGTTCTGAAACAATTTGGCCGTCAGAACTACAAGTGTCGGAGTTCGTTAGCACTCTGTAATACTAATGACATCGTGGGTGTCTTAGGTTTAACACGTGTGTGTGTTTGTGTGTGTGCGTGTGTGTTGCATTGCTCCTATAAACGTTGAATGTCTCAAATAAGTCACGTCTGAACTTGTTAACTGTGATCTTTGCCGCAGCTGGCCTTTTCAAACGGAACCTCTCAAAAAAGAACTTCTCTTCTTTCAAAGACGTCTGAATGATTCGTCATTGGACTGGAGATTTATTTATTTGGGTTTGGTTTAAATAATTGTACGAGTCTTTGTAAAACGAAGCATTTAGAGGTAAGTATACAAGAAATTGGCAGTAAATAACTCCACGTATTACGTACCTTGAGATTTTCTTGATGACTATAGCCTAATAAACTAACCAAATTTAAGAGAAGAAGCACGATTAACCAAACCATTCCTATAAAAGTAAATACATGAATAGATTAATGGATTTCCAAGAATAGTGGTAAAATATTCACAAAATTTCAAGTGAGTATTATAAAACTAGGTTTAAGACAAATGTAGGTTTGGTACCTTGTAACCAAACTGACTTCAGGCCACGGCCGCCTTTATCTCCAGGCCGCGGCCTGGTAGAATTGGCAACGTCGCAAGTAGGGTTGTTTAGTGTCAGACATCTCATAAGATAACATTGCAGACAGGTGACATCAGCTCATTAACTCCACACTTTATTGATTTAAGTTTAAATTTATGAACATAAATGTATCACAATATTGAAAATGAAACATACAAAATTTAAAACCAAAACAATATGAATTAAAAATCTAATATCTGCATATATAAAGCGGAGTCAATATAATCATAGTCCAGTAACCAAGATTTCGTAAATACACAATTCCAAACAAAACAGCTGTTACAACCCTACTAGAGACGTTGCCACTTTCAATGTCGCGGCCTGGAGCTAAAGGCGACCGTAGTTCAGGCAGACTTATGAAATGGTTGACTGCTTTCATCAGGGACCTTCTTCGCAAATCAATAATTAAGCTTAACCACTTAATAAATATGAGTAGTTTTGTTACTCACGTTGACACAATATTCACGAAGTCGTCGACTTTCTACACATGCAAAATGCTGCGAGTGTTATAGCTTCTGAAACAAGAGATTATTTTACAAGTACTTATTCGTTACTAAATAAAGTGATAATGACTTTACCAGTGAACACTCAGTCACTCAAACGAAATAATTTGTCCGGAACCCTTCCGTTGTCAAAAACAGATGTGGGGTGGAGTAAGGAGTCGGGGACAGACGAGGCTGTGTTACCATTTGTGACATTACAAATTATATTTAAGAAAATGTTCTAGTTAATCGTATATGATATATTTCAACAACTCGTGAGAATTATAACACGTTACTCTCTTAACCCATGTGAAAAAGTACTACGGAAAATACCTATTTTAAATACCAGCTAATATAAAAGTTGTCATCACTCCGAAATGAAAGTAGTTATTTTCTATAACGGCTTATATTAAAGAAACCAGTTGTTTAGCTAATGTAAACAAATTAAATTGTTTCCCAAGCTCTATGTTTATGATCCATACCGATTATGTTCTAATATTCGTTCTGTTCTAAGATACGTGATATTTAATGTTATAGTTTAAATCAGCTGTTATAAAAAATATGAATCATGCCATATATATCGAAATCACGCCGTGATAAGTATCCTTTAAAATTGTTCCAAAATACTTGCTACACTGGTTAACATTTCACGGCTTCTCCTCTTACGTGATTTTTTGTTTCTGTGTTCAGCTTAGCATCTCACATAAAACTTGAATGGGTACCGTACTTGTATAGTCTGAAAGATGGAATCTGTCTCCTGGCCTTTCGTATACTTGGGACTGTCCCGAGCCTTAAACTATTTACCAGTTTCCATGGAGACGGGGTAGTAGACATGTTCCAACATACATACCATAGTACGTACAATTATATTGTTGTTACTATAAGCGAGGGGCTTTGGTGCCCAAGGTCCCGGGTTTCATTGCCTGCCTATCACCAATGGATGTTATCAATGTGATAAGGCAATGACCCTCTAGGACTTGCCTGAAGTAATGTGTATAACAGTTTCGAGCTAAAACCATCGTGTTGTAGTATAGAGATCGATGGCTAGAACTAGTGCCAAGGATGTGAAGGTAAGGCATTAAAACAACTTTCACAATGAAAGATTGCATTGAGCTAGTGAATAATGGGTTCATAAGAGATAATTGTTGACTTTGCAGTTGTCAAGTATATACAGTATATCTGGGAAAATATACAAACTATACAGTATTTCTGTAAAGAGCCAAACAAAGTACTATCCAAAGATGACAAATTATCGCAGATACGAAACAGTTCCACGTCCTTTTGCAAACGGACTCGTTATCAGCCAACGGTCTCAACTGACAAGATTTCGATGAACATGTTTTTGCACGATTAAATGTTTTCCAATATATTTTGGATTTTTGAATTAATTCTGTGTTGTCGTTCAAATACTGTATTTAGATTTTTTTTCATCCATTGCGTGGTATAAGATTTATTTTTCGCAGATGTCGATTTACGTAGTTGACGATAAAGATTTTAAAAAAGTATTCGTGTTACCTTAATATGTGTTACCTACTGTCAGTATTTAAAGATGAATTCTAATACTTGAAAACAGGAATTTTGTAGATATTTCATTACAAAACTATGATGAATCCATTGAAGTAAATGATAGGTTATTAGATCTCTTGTGTGAACTCAGGTGTTCGACTACGGAGTGTTTAGCGTAATCATCAACATATTGTGCCATACTTTCTATTCAGTTTGTGTACTAGGTGGTCTACAGCTTTGTCATACAGTAGGTATGGAATTTTTATTTGTTTTCTATCCATATGTCTATGTTATTGTTCAATGCACAAATAATGTTTCCCATTTATAAGAGTTAGAAAAAGCCACCGACCTCAGATCTAGAGGCTTTTTAAATTGACAAAATTGGTTTGATCGTAAAATTATTGGATTTAAAATGCATATATAAGCTTAAAAGCGTACGGAAGAAAAAGGTGGCCACGTAACCTTTGTTTACAAGATGATTTTCCCCATTAAAACTGCCAGAATTTTTCTTTATGCGCGTAATTCTGAATTATATTCCGTTTTAATTGACTGCTTGATTCCCGTATGTAGGATGATGAACCAGCAGCTCGTTTTTCATATGTTTGGACGATTGAACAAATAATGAGTATATAACCTAACAACTAAAAATCATCATTTACGTAGCTACCCCACCAACCTAATATTTTCGTTCCTCTTTTTATCATAAAAACAGAATGTAGGCCTATTGCGTGTTATAGTTATGTCTGCGTAAAAATGTAATTTAAAGGTTCTAACCACTTAAAGATTGACTACCGAAAGAAAGCTCATTTGAAATATAACAGTTTTACATCGTACAACTGGAGTGATCTCTCCAATGTGCACAAATATACCTTGTAATGTTCAATAGACAGGTCGCTGGTTCGATTACAAGCTAGGACGTTACTGGACCCTGATTCCATTTATCATTGGGCAATCAATTAATGATGCTTTCTAAAATCGGTCGACGTTAGATAGTAACAAGATAAGGTTTGACCATTCCATTAAGTTAACAAAAGTTAATAAAAGGGTACTGGAATATATGTAGGCCTAATGCAAAAGGTAGACGTTTGCAACTTCACATTAAAGTCAGCTATGGACCACGGTATTATAACCTTATAGTTAACATTTATTGGTGGTTGGATGGATTTGTACTCATACCTCCAAAACAAAAGCCTCATTCTGCTACCACTATATCATCCGTACCATCGATGTAATGCCATTTCGAAACATGGTTTACAGGAACAAATATTCTATAAGAACTAAATAAAAGTATTTTCAGGTATTTTCGCCATATAAGAATGTACAGTTCCACTCAATTAGTGGTGTCTGTCATCATTTTAACAGCACTAACCTCAGGAGGAAATTGCCAAACTGCAAACAAATGCAAACTTGAATTTCTGAAGAAAATTAATGACAATGTTTGGAAACAAATCGGCATTCCAACGGACATTTTGAAAACAGTAAGTTAACTATTTTTCAAACTATACTTACAAAAGAGTAGGTGGATCCAATAATACTTACAATAAAGAAGGTAGATCCAACTATACTTACAAAAGAGTAGGTGGATCCAACTATACTTACAAAAGATTAGGTGGATTCCACTATACTTACAAAAGAGTAGGTGGGTCCAACTATACTTACAAAAGAGTGAGTGGATCCAACTATACTTACAAAAGAGTTGGTGGATTCAACTTTACTCACAAAAGAGTAGGTGGATCCAACTTAACTTACAAAAGAGTGAGTGGATCCAAATATACTTACAAAAGAGTAGGTGGATCTAACTATACTTACAAAAGAGTGAGTGGGTCCAACTATACTTACAAAAGAGTAGGTGGATCTAACTATACTTACAAAAGAGTAGGTGGATCCAACTATACTTACAAAAGAGTAGGTGGATCCATCTATACTTACAAAAGAGTAGGTGGACCCAACTATACTTACAAAAGAGTAGGTATATCCAATAATACTTACAAAAAAGTAGGTAGATCCAACTATACTTACAAAAGAGTAGGTGGATCCTACTATACTTACAAAAGAGTAGGTGGATCCGTTATTGTTAAAATTTGGTTACAGTATAACAAAGACGTGAAGATGATAAATTCAAGTTGCTATGTACTAAAACTCTTTAAGTGATATTGTATAAAATATTTTCTATATCATTCTACAGAATGATAGCATAGATAACAAGCTAGTATAAAATATATCTATGTTAGTATCCTCTGTCATATAGTTCAATCACTCGTAACAATTGTAATATTGCTTTTGTTTGATCTTAAGCTTGATCCAAGGAAAAAAATGTTCCTTTATTGCATTTTTTATACAATTTAATGTGGTACTTGGATAAAGATCGACGGTTCTGTACCTTTTGTTTGATGTATTACACATACTTATTTTTGTTTACAGGTCGAATTACCCTATTTAAAATTTATGACTCTATGAATTCAGATAAAATGTTATTAATTATTATGTTTATTATTATTTGTATTAAGTTAAATACTGATACAGCAATATTACAACACAGATAAAAAATAAGGCTAAAAACATTCTTTTAGATAAATTAAAGAGGTTACTTTATCAGCTCTTAGCTGCTATGCGAAATCTTACTGTAATATCTGTAAACATTGGCTGATAAAAATTAACTGTGCTTCTAGGTTGCTCTACATGTATAGTTTTGATCAACTTACCATAGGAATTTGCATAAGTACGAGAGAATACCCTTTTGAAAATATCTTTAAACATTTACTTAAATTATTATTGGACTATTATTATAGTATTGAGGCATTTACCCATGCTGAATTTGAAAGGTAGATTGTTCCGTTAAGAAAAGATTTCGTGATTAATATTTTGCTTTAGTCCAGTCATATACAGTAGAGAAGCATATATGCCCTCCTGAAATACACCAGATTGGTATTTATTCATGTTGTTTTAAGTTTGCTTTTTAAATATTTTCAGAAGGATCAAATTATTTTGTACTTTTGTTACTATTGGGTTTTTTTTTACTTTAAATTATAATTGTATTATGACATGTTAACAAAACGTATTGACAAAATTCTTAAAAAGTAATACAGAATTAGAATTTGAATTCAATCAACTCAATTCCTGACGAAAAATGCCAAGATATCATTTGCTTTTTAAAGGCAAGTCAAGTTTTTAACCACATCATGTCATATGAAAGAAAGAAAATTTTTACCAGGCGTCTGAAGCTGGCAAGGAGTACATAGTAAGGACCACAGAAGGTTACTACCCTGCAGACGTGAAATGTGCTTACACTGTGTTTGGGGATGAGGGTAAAACTGTACAGCTGATCACAATCTCTGGGACTAAATCGTAAGTTGACTTTTCGTCTTGTCTTTTTAGAAGTCTCTAATGTGCTAAATAATTAATCAATTGGATAAAGATTTATCAGCATACCTGTTGTGGGTCTTGTTGTTTGCAAAATGTTAATCCTTTCTCGCAAAAATACTTGCACACAACCAAATTTAGGCATTCATGCAATATGGAATATGGTTAACAGTGTCAAAATAAATTGTGTTGAAATTAACAGTTTATGGTTTGAACTCGATCACTTTGTGTAGTTGTTTTATCGAGAATTGTTTTGTTATGCCGAATTATTTTAGTAGACGTTATTTTATATTAATTTAGGAACCTAAAGAGACTTTTCGTGAAGATATGAAACCTTATGGAATTGAAAATCGCCTTAAATTGATCAGAGATCACACTGTCACCACTTTTGTGACTATAATGTAGCCGATTTTGTTTCAGTTTTTGATTTTTGTTTGTCATGTTGGCAAAAATATTAAAAAAAAGTTTATACTATTGTTTCTGTTAATGGGTTAAACTGATTTATAAGTATAGATAAAGAAATATACAACAGAATTAGAACAATTTAAAATATATTTACATTTAACTGTAAGAGCACACGTTATGATATATATTTTATAACCTTTTAATCGCAAGTTTCTCTTCTTTTGTTAGAAGCCATCCGGAAAAAGACCCTTTGGAAGAACACGATGGGGTAGTCGAGGAAGAAGGTGCGTTTTAACATTGTAAAATTAGTTTAGTTTAATTTTCTTATTAACTTCCAGCCTATAGATGGATAATTCAATACACCATTAAATGATTACATAATAAAATGCTACTTTTAGCTCTAGCTAATTGCTATTTTGTTTGAGAATAGCTACTGATTCTTGACTGGCAAAACCTACAAGTAATCTAAAAGTGCTTTTGGAAAAATTTGAAATTATTTTTCGTTGGAATGCTAGTACAGTATACATATAAATTAGCAGACAATGTCAAAATGGAATTGAATAATTTTCTCCTAAAAATTTATTCCAACGCAAATTTATTATTTTGCGACTTTTCGGTTTCAGATACTCATATCAAGAGAGTTCACATCTACAGCAAAGAAGGCGTTGTCGTTTGGTACAAGTGTTTAGATGAAGGTAAGTAAACCTGTTTCCTAATCTAAACAAAATTGCTGAATTTGTAAAATAAAATTTAATTGAAACAATGTAGTCTACATTAAGTTTTAATTCAGCCGCCATTAAAACCTACTAGCAATTATAATGTTAATTTTTATTATTTTTTAAACGTAATAACATTGACTTTTAGACAAAGCTAAACTAGTAGTCAGAGAGCGGAACTTCTGTTTTAAGGCTCTCAAATTTTACTAGTCACCATTATATGTATCGACCAGAATATCGATAAGCAGTGGTTGGGGACCCACCTTGAAATAAAGTCCCATGTAAAAAAGGCAACTGCCATCTCGTATGAGGTGAACCTTTCGGTATTGAAAACTTCCTTTGCCAAAAGCATTTTGATAATTTTCCTTCCTCTCTAAAATCATCTTATGTAATTTCATCTCGGTTTATGCAATAATTTTCTTTCTGTTTCAGGCGATGATGGTCCCATAGAAGTGGCTATGAAAGTGAAGGAAAATTCTTTCGACCCTGACAAGGTGACACAAGTCAAAGCCTTGATACTGAATGAACTTGGAGTAGATTTGAAACAAGATTACAACCATGATTGTGCTGTTGACGGGGGAAATGGCAACCTGTAGATGTTTCTAAAAATGATTTTTATAGTAACTCTGTAGTTTTCCATAAATCCATAACTTCTATACCTCCAAGAGTTCATATTGATTGAAAGGTTATGAAATTAGGTGAAGCATTAGGGTCTTAATTCGGTTATAACATTTATGATTCATATGATTCATTCATGCTTTATAATTTATAATGTCTATTTGTTGTTTAAGAGGTGGATGAGTTTATTTAGCCTAATATAAATCATATTTGGATCTTATGCATTTTAAAACTTTGATTAGATCAAGAGTAGCCCCACTAAGAATTAATCTAAAATAAATATTTTTTTGCGGAAATAAATAGACCGTCCCATTGCACCTTATATAATTGTCAATACTGTGCCTTTAAAAAAATTGATTTTGAAAGGGTTATAATTTCTAGCGAAGTTCATTTCTTCAAATAGATTTAAAATTCCTACGATGGAAATGCCTTTTGTACAACAAAAGATTAACACGTTCTGGATGAAACCAATGATATTAGATCAGAAACAGTGTGGATCACTAACATAAACAAATTACGTCACTGGCCCGAAAGTAAACGTGCTTTTATAAATATTAAAATGGAGCTGTCATACCTCTAAACCATCTGTTACGGCTATTAGTATAGACGTTCAGGCTAGTAACGTCATTTGTTAATGTTTATGATCCATGCCGTTACTGTTCTAATATTCGTGATTAAATTTAAATTAATTTTGAACCTGCCGTTATCTTTCCCTTGTAGTTTTCAGGACAAGTCAATGGTTTTGTAAAAAAAACTATTTATTTACAGACACTAAAATGAGTATTAGACAGATTTCATATCTATTTTATCAATGAAATCATTATGCTTGATGGTGCAGATCGTTGTTCGTCAAAGTTGCTGTTGAATCTGCGATAGTGCCAACTCTACGGGGAGCGTCTCCTAGAATCAAGATATATGTATAATAACTTAAGGAAATGTTATTTTAATCTTTATATAATATTCAAAAAGTTTGATTGAAATTAAGAAAAACTTAAAATGTGCTCCACTTTTCTAAAGAAATTAAAATGTAATGTAAAAAATCAAACATTTTTACACCCATCCAAAATATTGTTTGGGTACAAGAACTTTACTATAACTAAGGATTTTTTGTCCTAAAGATCCCACACAGCTAAAAATGTAAGTGAAAAGTTTACCCACCGATATGACATAGTTTTATTGACATATGAAAAAAATGTTCTTAAACTAAAAGTTGATCTATGATTTCGGTAGAGGAAACAAAATAATAATTTATTAAAGTTTATTTTACCACACAGGAAAAATATAAATACAATGTTTTTTTTATGTAATCGAACTATTGTTGTATTCAAAGTCTTAACCTTGTAGCTATCCCCGGTTAGTTGTTACCTTTAAATATGATAATCTTAAATACCCCAGCCGCAGCAAACCTGACGCCTAAGCGAATTTCCATTTGGCTGAATTGATTTTCAATTGATCTATTTAAATAACATTAGGTTTAACGAGTACCTAGGTTTGCTGCTACAAGGAAACTAATAAAGTGTGTGTTTTAAGTAAAATAATTATTGCTTGGTATAAAATGAATATATTTGCCAAGTTTGATCAAAAGATATCCATAAACAAGCAAACTACAACATTTTACAATATTCTCCATAAGAATAACATGGGAATTTTAAATTTACCATTTTTTTAGTTTTCTCCGTAACCAATAACCGTACAAAAACACTTTGATATACTGAATTGTTTGTTTTTTTAAGCTCTTTAAGAAGGTTTAGAGAAAAATTGGGAAATTTTGTGTTTTGAAGGTCAAAAGTGAGAAAAACCAGTTTTTACCCATAAAACCCCCCATAAACCCTGTTCCCATGGTCCGATCATGCTGGATCGCGAACTCATTCAAGTTTATCCTGCCTTACACCTTCAAACCAAATTTCATCAAAATCGGATAAAAATTACTCAAGTTATCGTGTTCACGGACACACACACACACACACATATATATATATATATATATATATATATACATATATAAAAATTTGAACGAGTGGTGTTTTTGGCCTCTGGGGACATCAAAATGAAAAAGTAAATCGGTCCCGGGCCTAAGTCTCACCATGAGACCTACGGTAATAGCTACTTCCCTATAGGGAAATTCGCTAAAAGAAAGCATTTTAATACTCTAATCAATTATGTTATTCATAGTTCGCCAATGCGAATATATTACACAGGTTAAATCTAGTAAGATTTCCACAAATGGTTTTAGACAAAGAATTTGGTCCAAAATTGATGAAATGGAATATTTTCCAATAAGCCAAGGGGAAAAATATTTTGAATACTTTTTTTGAATAATGGAAGTACCAAAACCAGAGTTTTAATGTTTTATAGGAGTAAAAATATACCTAGGGTGTTTAAAACTACCAATAAAAAAATCATTTTTATCAAGTCATAGTTTTGCATTAAAATCCGCAACCACAATAAGTATTTTGAGACCAGAATAATACTTACGTCTGTCTTTGAGTAGTATTTTCTCCAGAACCATAATTGGAGCCTCGATAGTCAGGGAAAGTATTATTGCTAGGAATATCGCAATGACAAAGTCACCCAAAAACTTGTGGATCTAAAAAAAACAAACAAAACAATATGACCTTTATGCAATTCAAAAGGTTCCATAACATTGTATTTCGGCATAACCAAAAAACCTTTAATTCATATAGCAGAGAACCCTTGTGCGAAATTCTTCACAAAAAATGCATTACTTTAAATCAGTAAACCTAATTAAATACACTTAACATTTGTTGATAAGGTAAACAAATCTTAGTAGGCTGTAAGTTGTTAAAGATCAAATGAAAAAGTACATATTAAAATATGTGACAAATATAACCAGTTATTATAATAGTATCTTTCAATAGGTATGTTTATTGTTTATTCGGGTAGTTGAGTGGTTATAGTGCTCGTCTGATGATTAAAATGTCACCAGCTCGATCTTGACAATAATAAGTAGCTTTTTGGTAGGTCAAAACGAACTCAGCTGTCCCAGATCATTGTAATTTTAATAAAATGTCCTGGCTTAAACAGCTGGTCTTAGTCAGTAACAAAGCTCCACAAGACATCTCACTTCATTCCACACTCATCCTTCGCGTATATTTTATTAATACGCAATTAATTCGTGTTCCCATCTCATTTGGTAATACTAATTTGTAATAATGCTCCTACCTAGGGTTTTAAGTGTTTTTATGCAATCTATTTATATTTTAATTTTACCATTGCACTTAATTTAAACCCTACACCGAATGCAACTGTATTTGAACGTTTGTTTATCCTCTGGTATCAAGACCAAAGAGCAAAATGCACACTGTATCTTTTGCTCTATAATTGAAAACGATTAAATTGAAATGAAGACGCTCAATTTATAAAACTCACACCAAAACAAATTTTACAGTACAGTGATGACTTTGCAATACCTAATCTTTACTTACCATTTCGAAGTAGGTAAAGTGCTGTGGCTGACGCAGGCTTCCAACACCGTACAGTATTACAGCTACATGTGTCAAGTATATAGCGTAGGTTAGACGTCCGAGAGGCGCAAATATCTTCAATGATAACCAGCTGTTCAGGAAACCTGAGGATAACAGGTTATTGTAATTGACTTTATCAGGGTTTATTTCGCTAAGTTTTATCAGAAGAGTTAGTTTTAGACATAGAGTAAAAGTGAAGAGGCTTCGGGGAGTTTATGGGAAATTAGGGGAGTTTAGGGGAGCTTAGGGTAGTTTAGGGGAGCTTAGGGGAGTTTAGGGGGTTTAGGGGCGCTTAGGAGAGTTTAGGGGAATAATTTAGGGGAGTTAAGGGGAGTTTAGGGATGTTTATGGGAGCTTAGGGGAGTTAAGGGGAGTTTAGGGGAGCTTAGGGGTTTAGGGGAGTTAAGGGGAATTTAGGAGGTTTAGGGGCGCTTAGGAGAGTTTAGGGGAATTTAGGGGAGTTAAGGGGAGTTTAGGGGTGTTTATGGGAGCTTAGGGGAGTTTAGGGAAGTCTATGGAAGCTTAGGGAAGTTTAGGATTAGGTTTATGAGGGAGTTTGGAGTTAGAATTAGTTTTATGAGGATTTAAATTACTTATCATAACTTCAATACCATCCAGAATAGCTTTAACAATCGATACTATTATTACACGCTTCATTTTAATTTAATTTCAAAATTGTTGTATGAAAGCTAACATTTAATCACTATGTAAAAGTTAACTATACCGGTCACTATCAAATTATTTGTAACCTACTTATAAATTTCCAATCAAATTCATCGTATAGTAAAGACAAAATCAATATGTCTGTCGCAAATATTGATACATTTTGCTTAATTGAACAAGTAACCAAGAATCCAACATTGGGAACAGTGAAAAATATATTAAAATACTAGAGCTCCAACTAAACTAAAGTAGAATTCAGTTTGTGATCGTGCTAATACTATTTTCTCAATAGAGAGTTGTATGTAATAATAGTTGTAAGTTGATTAATGCGTTTAATGTATTTATTTTGTTATTTAAATGGTAAAAAAAATCAAACCTAACAATACACATCCTGTTAGCCACCAACTGAATTGTATTTTAGAACAGATAGGCAGAAGTACATTTTTCATTGACTAAATATGTTTTCAATATGTGGGAATAGGCGAATTTCATAATCACAGCTGATAACGGGGGTGAATTAATTGATAAAATAATCCATTAAAAGGTATTATAGCAGCTTTTCCGATAAAAGTACTTGTGAAAAGGAGGAAAACGTCTTAAAATTTGCATTTACTTATCTTAGATAGGCAGTATATTTATACACCCTGTATAGTATATTTACCACCGTGTCCAGTGGTGCAAGCTAGGATGACCCATGCGAGACCAACAGACCAAAAGAACCTGTAGACTCCAATGTAGAAGGACGATTGCCATTGGTCATAATCACTGTCCAGCTGGAATATGTAGTAGCCTCCAAACAGTCCGTAGCCTAGAAATGCGACTGCTAGGTACCATAATCCCAGTTTCTTGACCTGTAACAACGTTAAGTAAATTAAAACCAGAATTAAACTAAATATTGGATAGGTATTGCATTTTTGTATCAAGAAAGTGTGGAGTTGCTCAAATGGTTAATAGCGTTTTTGATTCGATGAGGCGAGGATTTCAAAAGGTACGTAGCACATATTTTGCTACACATCTTATAATCCTAGGTTTAGGTAGTAATAATTATTTTCCGCCAAAAATTCGTGAATGGTGACTAAATCTACCAAGTTATCTTAGGAAACACATGAATAAATTATTTCTTGTGGGCTCTCTAGGTAACTACAATTTTGTTTTAAGGGTTATGTAAATACATAATATTTAACATTTGTCCTGGACATTTAGTAGAAGAAGAAAATACCGTAGTAACCAAGTAAAAAATATTTAAATTATTTTTCTACATGTGTAAACTCCCTAAATTTAGGACTATTATCGTTCAAATCTGTAAATAATTTCTAAAATATCTCCAGTGGCCTACATTAACTACTTAGTTTTATAAAATAAACCTGACCTAAAAATGGATCAAATAAGTAAATAAACATGAACTGAAAAAATAGAATTATTAGCATAATCAATCAACTTACCCAATGAATTTCCATTCTTATTTTATTTGCTCTATGAAGGTGTAAAATGTACCCAGTCAGAATTCCGATGAAATATGAAACTGTCTTTGTATGAGTGGGAAAGTACAGCTCTGCCATTTCTCGATTCACCTTTTCTGTGCTGTAACAAGAGTAATGATTACCAAAATATGAATATGTACAGGATGCCTTATTCTACCAAATTTCACTTCTGAAAATCGTAATATTTCAGGTATTTCTTATTCGATCCTTTTGAACTTGGTATCGTGTGATAGGGAATTACAAATGCTAAAGAAAAGTGTTGTTTTTTTATAAAGTTAGCCGTTTTTGAGTAATTTAAGTGTAAACATTTAAAATAACCTCCATTTTGTAATTTTAAGTTGAATCAAGATGGATTTCTTTTCTAACATTGGTCTTTTATACTTTAACCTACATACCAATTGTTAGACAAAATTCAAAAATAAAAATGTTTATGTAAAAAATACAAAATGGTCGAAATCTGATTAACGAAGCGATTTTGGAAAAATATTATTCTTGATTTTCTCTTTATTTTGACCCATAGAATCATTTCCCGGAGTTTGGCTGTTTACTTACTGGACACCCAGTATATATATTCATATTTAATGATTTATCTGCGAGCATTGAAATAACGATAACATTTACAATATAATTAAGTATTTATTACGAAAATCATTATTATGGGACTAAATATTTTATCAAAGTTCGTGAGTTATTCCATAATTGTTTTAATTTTTTGTATACAACAGTTAATATACAGGGTGTTAAAAAAAGGCGGGGAAATAATTTACGTAGTAATTCCTTGGGTCGAAATAAAGAGAAAATCAAGAATAATTTTTACCTTTGAATCTTTTGCCCGATCTTTATGAAACTTGATATGTATGTTAAGGTAGAAGAGACCCATGTTAGAAAAAAAATCATTTTCATTCAACTTAAAATTTAAAAATGGTGGTCATTTTAATTTTTTGAACTTAAACAACAAAAAACGGCAGATTTTGTAAAAATGTCAGGAGCATTATTATTTAGAATTTTTAATTCCCTATCAAACGGAACCAAGTTCAAAAATATCGAATAAGAAATTGCTGAAATATTACAATTTTTAGTTGTAAAATGGGGTAGAATAAGGTTTAGATGTTCCGGTTTGCTCAATTTGTTTACTACAAATCGAAATATTTAAGCTATTTCTTATTTGATTTGTTTTACTTTGTTACCGTTTGATAGGGAATTATAAATGCTAAATTAAAGTATTCACGACATTTCCTTATAAAATAAGTAGTTTTTGTGTAATTTAAGTAAAAAAAATTGAAATGGCTATTTTAAAATTTTTATTTGAATTAAGATTATTTTTTTTCTAACATGGGTCTATTTTACCTTAACATACATACCAAGTTTCATAAAGATCGTCCGAAAAATTCAAAGATAAAAATATTTTTGTAAAAAATACAAAATGCCTAGCTAACGAAGTGATTATGGGAAAAATATTATTCTTGATTTACTCTTTATTTTTGACCCAAGGAGTCACTACGTAAATTATGTCCCTACCTTTTTTGAACACCCTTTAATAACAGTAACTTAAAAGAACTTGGAAATTAACATTGTTGATCTGAAGCATAGTATAACCTTTGAAACTCACTTATACAACAGCTACTTACTCAAAAGATATTGGGATTGGAGTTTTAATTTGGTCAACAAACGCCACCACGAAAGGAACAATGATTGATACGATGGCTAGAAGAAAGAGATTCGTAAGACCCAGCCTGGGCCAACGCCACAGAGGGTACAACACCAGGGGAGACAGCCAGAACAGCTGCATATCAGCGGCTAGGTACCACGACTGCATCATACACTGTAACATGTGGCTGTATATTATACATGTAGCCATGTCACAGAGGGTACAACACCAGGGGAGACAACCAGAACAGCTGCATATCAGCGGCTAGGTACCACGACTGCATCATACACTGTAACATGTGGCTGTATATCATACATGCAACCATGCCATAGAGGGTACAACACCAGGGGAGACAGCCAGAACAGCTGCATATCAGCGGCTAGGTACCACGACTGCATCATACACTGTAACATGTAGCTGTATATTATACATGTAACCACGCCACAGAGGGTATAACACCAGGGGAGACAGCCAGAACAGCTGCATATCAGCGGCTAGGTACCACGACTGCATCATACACTGTAACATGTAGCTGTATATTATACATGTAACCACGCCACAGAGGGCACAACACCAGGGGAGACAACCAGAACAGCTGCATATCAGCGGCTAGGTACCACGACTGCATCATACACTGTAACATGTGGCTGTATATTATACATGTAACCACGCCACAGAGGGCACAACACCAGGGGAGACAACCAGAACAGCTGCATATCAGCGGCTAGGTACCACGACTGCATCATACACTGTAACATGTAGCTGTATATTATACATGTAACCACGCCACAGAGGGCACAACACCAGGGGAGACAGCCAGAACAGCTGCATATCAGCGGCTAGGTACCACGACTGCATCATACACTGTAACATGTGGCTGTATATTATACATGTAACCACGCCACAGAGGGCACAACACCAGGGGAGACAGCCAGAACAGCTGCATATCAGCGGCTAGGTACCACGACTGCATCATACACTGTAACATGTAGCTGTATATTATACATGTAACCACGCCACAGAGGGCACAACACCAGCGGAGACAGCCAGAACAGCTGCATATCAGCGGCTAGGTACCACGACTGCATCATACACTGTAACATGTAGCTGTATATTATACATGTAACCACGCCACAGAGGGCACAACACCAGGGGAGACAACCAGAACAGCTGCATATCAGCGGCTAGGTACCACGACTGCATAATACACTGTAACATGTAGCTGTATATTATACATGTAACCACGCCACAGAGGGCACAACACCAGGGGAGACATCCAGAACAGCTGCATATCAGCGGCTAGGTACCACGACTGCATCATACACTGTAACATGTAGCTGTATATTATACATGTAACCACGCCACAGAGGGCACAACACCAGGGGAGACAGCCAGAACAGCTGCATATCAGCGGCTAGGTACCACGACTGCATCATACACTGTAACATGTAGCTGTATATTATACATGTAACCACGCCACAGAGGGCACAACACCAGGGGAGACAACCAGAACAGCTGCATATCAGCGGCTAGGTACCACGACTGCATCATACACTGTAACATGTAGCTGTATATTATACATGTAACCACGCCACAGAGGGCACAACACCAGGGGAGACAACCAGAACAGCTGCATATCAGCGGCTAGGTACCACGACTGCATCATACACTGTAACATGTAGCTGTATATTATACATGTAACCACGCCACAGAGGGCACAACACCAGGGGAGACAACCAGAACAGCTGCATATCAGCGGCTAGGTACCACGACTGCATCATACACTGTAACATGTAGCTGTATATTATACATGTAACCACGCCACAGAGGGCACAACACCAGGGGAGACAGCCAGAACAGCTGCATATCAGCGGCTAGGTACCACGACTGCATCATACACTGTAACATGTAGCTGTATATTATACATGTAACCACGCCACAGAGGGTACAACACCAGGGGAGACAGCCAGAACAGCTGCATATCAGCGGCTAGGTACCACGACTGCATCATACACTGTAACATGTAGCTGTATATTATACATGTAACCACGCCACAGAGGGTACAACACCAGGGGAGACAGCCAGAACAGCTGCATATCAGCGGCTAGGTACCACGACTGCATCATACACTGTAACATGTGGCTGTATATTATATATGTAACAATGTAAACAAACAAGTACAGAAATAAAGCAAATTATAGTACAGTAGGTTGTACCATGGGAATTATGTTTTGTTTGAGTCAGTTTGTGTGATTTCCAACATGGTTAACTAATCAAACATGCCCTTATTGTAAACTTCCAATGATATAGTATAAAAATAAGGAAATAAAACTGTTTCACCACTTAATGAGATATTTGGAACTTTTGTACCACTGTCTTTTTGCCAAAACTTTGGGTCTATGTCAGCGAAACAAAATCATGGTATGTGTCTGTGTATCTATGATTCTGTGACTTCGCTATGATAGTTTCTTTTGTATTGCTATGTGTAATACTTCATTATGTGTATGATCGTCTACGCTACGGTTTCTTGTTAAACGATTGTTTCTATGTCCGTGCTAGTAAACCTTTGATGTTTCTTTCCATATAATCTAAATTCGGTAATTATAAATGTAGATGCTGCAATATATTATTTTAGATCTATTATTTACGTAATTTTTATTTAACTCCGATGAAAATTTTCCATTTACTAAACGACTGTGAATAAAAATAATTAAAAAAAAAACAATCCTATGAATCTATTTCAAAGTTACTAATCAACATTATCTATAAGACATCACCCACATTACTGTTAGGGTTGACATAGTTATTGATGTACAGAAGTCCCGTCCACCAGTTTTGGGTACAGTCATTCTTGGCGCCCCCAACAAGTCTGTCCCACAGAGGACCATCCCCTGTACGATACAACCATGTAGCTGTCACCACAATCATCAGACCATATGCTGGCGTAAGCCTGAAATGATTTAAAAATGGAAGAACAGTGCTGATTTTATTCTAAATAATTTAAGAAAGTTATATAAAATAACCGTTAACATTGACTTTAGCGCCCAAATGTGAGTTTTCCACTTTACCTTTACGTGTACTATATGAATATGTGCTTCATATACATATACATATGGGTGCACCGTCACCTAAATGGTTCTTTTAGGGTTAAAAGTAAATTTTACAGTGTCCAATTTACTCTTTTATCATACATAGGGACAAACGAAAACGTGTAAATAAATAGTTCTTAATGGTTCCAATAGCCTATTTATTACAATAATAATTGAATGCACTAGTAGCACTTGAAGCAAATCTAACTATAATCTAATCATCATATGTGAAGTGAGATCTTCAATATCAATAGCTGAAACATCTCTCTTAATCTATAATATGATAATAACATCTTATTGATATTGTCCTTTTATTTTTTTAGTATTTCTTGGTTAAATTCCTTTTTTTCCTGTAAATGTCCAAATAGAGCAAATAAATTATAAAATATATACATGGGTTTAAATTAAAGCTTTGTATGTATGAATTTTATTTCACTTGCAAAAACATATTTGTTGGGGAAGAATACTAATGCAAAAATAAAACTAATGCAGTGTAAAAAATTGCCCTTTGATTTAAGTTAGTAACAATAAAGTCATTATACTGATTTTAGGTGCAATAACAAAAACAATAATTTATAGTTTACACCAAGCTATCAACATTTTTTGGTATTCTTTATTGAAATTATAAAAAAATGAAAGCAGAGAGGTGGTTGTGAAAGGAAAAAGAAGAATGTTTATTTTGTAAACATTACAGCAAAGAGAAGCTAAATTAAAGACATAAATACGGGGCTGAAGGCGCGGTGCTGCTTCTGATTATAAACTTGCTAAAATCAGCACTCTTTCTCTCCCCAGCGCATGCTTGGTGTCGTAAAATTTGATAATTACTATTTAATGTTTACAAAATGTTTTTCAAACTCTCTTTCACAACTTACGTTCCTTGGTTAAAAATCCTACTTGGATTATTCCCATCCTTATGGAACAGCTGAAGCCAATTTTATTGTTAGTTCTGTCCGGTGTACTGTAGATGTCGTGTTTTGTTTACAATTTGTTTTTATTATTTTAGGGTTAGTTTCTCATAATTTGTGCCTCACTGTTTGGTTATATAGCTAGTGGATGAGTTATTGTTTATGATTAGATAGTTTTATTTGGTTTTAAATTATACTGAAATAGCAAGAAACGAATTGTCAACAAAACACGAATCTACAGTACACCGGACAGAACTAACAATAAAATTGGCTTCAGATGTTCCATAAGGATAGGAAATCAAGTCGCGCTACGTTAAGGCGAAAACAATTTAGCCTCCCTGGCAAACTATTAAGTCTATAGAACAAAGCACGAAAAAGAATGTGAGTTAGTAACTAGGTGATTGCATTAAGCTCACAACAGTTGTGTTACTAACAGTAGTTCTAATTTACTATGGGATTGACATGATTGGTTGAACAAGCACAACACAGAATAGTGCATATTGTGCTCTAAAGAATGTTAATTTATCAATTTTAAACTCCCTCCATCAATAATATATTAAGAACTATGTATAACTGTTATAGGAATATATGAAAACGCACAAAATAAAGTTGACTGAATAAACAAATCACTATCAAAGTTAATAAGTGTGAAAATGCATGGTCCTTTTGTATAACATGCAATTTAAAATAATTGAGCAAATCTGCAACCTCTAAAACACTAAATATTTGGTAATTAATATTAACTGTGTATTACCAGCCGCAACTGTTCCAACCTATAACGATAGTCACAGGTTACAACTGTTACAAATCGCGTTATCTACCTGAGATAGCGGTGCACGTAGCCTACAAGATGTGACATGAGGGTTTTGCCACGTCGCCGTGCCAGGTTCATGTACACGTACGTGTTCAGGATGCCACTGATAAGGAAGAACACGTCTACTGATAAGGTGGCGTTCAACACGATCATGCTCGACCAATCTTCGACGTACTGGAACATCAATTGAGGTTATTTGAATATCAAATGTTAGATCGTTGTATGTGTAATATGAAAGATTTTTAGTGAACTGTACTACAGTAAATGTAATTTTTGAAGTAATAATTAATCTTCAAATTATATAATAATAAATTATATAAATTATATAATAATTGATCTTGGTTGCTCTAGGGGCTCAGTAGTTAATACGTCCATTGTAAAAGTAATAATTGAAATTTCGATAACAAGTTGATTCTGTTGAAGGGGTTTACCAAAAGAAGAACACACGTATGAAGTAGTGTTTTTGTATACTGCAGTGATTTAAAACACTGAGAAGATCGTATTCTTGGCAGGGAACAGCATACATTGCTCTTATATGAGCAATGTTTGCTTGTATGTATGCTTGCATAAAGATCTCGAAAACTGCTTTGACGATTTCCTTAAAATGTTGTAAATAACTTATATCTGGCCTAAAACGTGTTTACCGCAGTTACCAGCAAAAATATAATTACGTAATAAAATGAAATTGGAAGTCAACATTTTTTAACATTGGCCTTATGGGTTGCCAAGGAACCATGTTGGTTGAACAAAATAACAAGGAAATGTACACAAAATACTTGTAACGCGCGTTTTTAACCAGCCATCCACAGTATACTAGCAAAAAAATTACAAAAGAAGACTACACGATTAGGGGTACAATGGAAATAAACGATACTGAGTCATGGCTCGGTTCCCATGTACTTATTATCTTAAGGGACCATTTAACAAACAAAAAGTACGGAGTTAAGTTATAGTAGTGAAAGTTTATAACAATTTTCATACACATTCTCGAGGAAGTTGAATTATTTTTAGCATGAAAATCAAATTTATTATCACTTATACACCAAACAAGCCTATTCACAAATTGTTCCTTTTATTATTTGAAGTTTAGGAACTTACAAATAAATTATCTGGATATTTTAATAACGTAAACAGATGTAATTAATTTCAAATCAATCAGGCATGAAATTATTTCCAACAACTCCTAAACTGATTTAACCCAACTATAACTTGATTGCCAACACGATTTAAACAACCGTAGGTCTACCATTTATCAAACAACACGTGCTATCAAACTAAACTACCCAGATGTATCGAAGGAAATTCAATGTTACCAACTGACATCAGCAACATTGAGCAGATTGGTCAGAGGGGCCTGGACCGAGAACCTGATGCGGTGTCCAAGGGTCACCCAGGCGATGCTGAGGAACTTGAGAGCGTGCAGCACAGAGAGAGAACCTTCAGCAACCCGAGTGTCCATGAGTCGACGTCCATTGGTGTAGAGAGAAAATGACGTCAGCAACTGGAGACCAGTGCTTAATCCTAGGGGAATGGAGTTAAACATCTTAAATGTCTTGAAATGTTTCATTGTGTATTACTTTATGCGTTATATTATTAGTTTTATGCACGGTGGATTTCTACCAGGTGATCACTGCCTAGGTTTCATGGACTTAACACTACCTACAAGTACTTTTTAAGAGCTTGGGGCCTCTTTATCTTCCATTCGCCCGTCCACAAGGTATGTGCATGGAACGTACGCAATAAAATAAGTAAGCCGTACAGTACAAGAGTGACATTTATCGATTAAATCTAGTTGCAGTTACAGTAACAGGAGGCCAATCCATGACATTGCTGCCACGTGATACGTAGTTCATCACGCCAATGGCTGAGCAAATAACTCACCTTTTATAGGTTACATTATAAAAGGGGATTGCATTAATTATCTCGTAATTATTTTTATTTAAACGATTACTTTATACTGTAGGGCTATAATTATTTCTTAACAAAGAATTACAGTAAATGGCATACTACCTCGACCATCTGCTTGCTCATTGTTGTAACCCAATGTCAAGTCGATTGTAGTCGAAATAGCCACCACAATAAGACTGCACAATGTAACCACTCTGAAACCAAAATATACGTTTATGATGTTTAAACATTTCAAGACGACTCTTCCACTACTATGAGATAAGAATTGAATTAAATTTTCTTTAAATTCTATTATTGTTTGTCTATAATTCTATTGTGATACAATTCATTTATGAAGTAGACACATTATTCTTTAAAAATTTTGTAGCAAGTGCTGGTTTCTATTTTTTTTATTGGTATAAAATATAGTGTTATGAGCTCATCATAGTGCGTACGGATGAAAGGGTATACAGTCTACTCCTGATGTACTACTGAAGTTCATCAAGTATAAAAGTCTAGTATTTTTTGCGAAAGTTAGTTATTGTGGAAAGAAAGTTTAAATAGTATACAATAAGTTGCCAATCATTTTGGCAAGAAAAATCTGTGCGCAAGAAAGAATTTTGTCGGAGAGTTAGTTGAACTTTGTCCTCATATGCTAGTAGTGTGCCAAACTCAACAAAATTTAATTAATAATCATTCAATCGTTATTAAATTACCGATTTCGTTTTATATTTCTATATAAAATTATTTAATATTTAATGTTCACTGACAAATAATACTTGAATTTGAATAAATAGGACAGAAAATACTGATAGGGAACTAATAAAATGTTTACTTATTATTGCTACAAAAGGAACAGTCAGACCCTGGGGGTTCATCACCAACTGAAGCCAATGGTGGAGACACCATTATCTGTATGAAGTCAAGCTAAATATATTTTCGTACTAATCAATAAATATTTAAAGTATTACTAAACCTGCTGATCATCTTCTGCTACAAAATGTATCCAACATGTAATCTCTTACAAACGTCTCTGACTTATAGACATAGTTCAAGCTTTATATAAAAACTGTAACGCTTATGTAAAGCTGTAACAATAATATGTCTATGCCATGCAGTTAGTTTTTGAAAAGCTCACATGCCAACCACCTCAGCGGTGTCCAGCGGCGGCCGTAGCTTGACATGACAGTCCGTCTGATCTACTGAGAACTGAATGGTCAAGTTAGCGGAGGTCAGGGCTGGGTTGACGTCGTTGGCTACATCTTCTAGTGCAAGGCCTATAGTCTCTGGGCTACAGGATGACGGCAAACAGAGAGCGAAGGTGTAGGCGAGTGCGTTGCCCAGAACAGCCAGGACTCCCTAGGAGGAGGAAAATTTGGTTGTTAAATAAAAGGGTAATTAAGGTACAGATAATGGAAAATTAAATAAAAGGTTTATTGCATTTTAGAGGTGGTGCTAGGTCTGGCAAGTTCTCCCCATCACTTACTATCTGTATCAGTGGTTCAACTATCAATTAACCTATACTATGCTATGTATTATAGGTTAGTTGTTATTGTAACAACTTCAAGTGCTTACAAATTCAAGTGCTATGTATGTATGTTGCTATGTTTAGTGGTCAGAGTTTAACTGTAAGAAAGGACCATGAGGTCCTAAGTTCGCCTCAATAAAGGAGGATTTTCATTTCATTTTTTTCATTTCAAGTAAAGTTCTCTCAAGAGAATGTATAGTTAAATTATTTTTGAACAGCAATCATGCTTTTTGTAAACATCTATGTTTTCGTAAAATCCTTTGACCGGTAAACTGAATTACTCGACCACAATGCGTTCCCAGGAAAAAGAAATCACTTTTCAAAAAATATCAAAATATTTTTAAAAATTGAATGAAGTTTTTTTCAAGTTTTTTATTAAACATCCTGCATCCAATTACTGGGTAGCTCTACCGATAACATCCATATTTGTTACAATATATGTTATGAAAAATCGACTACATAATGTTTAGAACCGTCATTAAAATCATACAGTTTGCAGGCATCAAGAAAGAAAGCTGGGACGGGTGGCGTCGTCCTGTAATCCAGCTACTAGGAGGTCACGAATTGTGGATATTTATAGGCGGCACTGTGGATGCGATACTCCCCGGTGTGGATTAACGTCCGCACGAGTGAGTATATTACGATTATCCGCATTACTATCCTGATAATTAGACCAATTCATATTTACCAATGTAAAAATGTGGTTCGGATTCCACTATAAACTGTATGTCCCTTAGTTGCTATTAGCTTTATGGGCTACTTTATTAATTAACAGCTGTGTCTAAGGAATGTCGGCCTTAGTCACTAACAAGACTACAAGATCGCGCCACTCATCCTACACTAATCTCCATTCATACTTGGATAAAATACCTACTATGTATGATGGCCATTTGATTGAACAGTATGAACAGTAAATAATATCAGTACTTTAGAAATATTATTCACCCAGTAAAACCACTTATCTTGATTAAAAGGCTTAGTATTCCAATGAAAATATGTCAGTTAAGATAATGATCACAATTTATTACAGTTTTCAAGAACGTTCTTGCATGCATATCGGGATAGTTTGGTAACTTACGGGAGGAGCAAAATCAGGAGGTTTGGTAAAGTTGAGGTGGAGGACGGCCAGGCAGTGTTGGCCTGTGAAGTCAGCATCTACGTGTCCAGTGACTGAGATGTCCACACACTCATCGTAGGCTCCGAGGTCGACCAAGTTACCTCCGAAGACACCTACAGGTATCTTGGAGCTGGCGTCCAACACTAAACAATAGGAAAGTTAGTGCTACTAAATGACAAGAGAGTGTTAGGATGATTAGATAAGAGTAGAGTATTAGGATTGATGATAAAATTGTGTTAAGGTAACTAATTAAAAAAATAATTGTTAGGTCCATTGAGCTAGAAACACAATCAGAGGCAACACTGGCACGGCAACTCTGCTAGAAAATCAATATGGTGTAACATTTTGTAATGGCTGGATTGGCTCGTTGCTTTTTTGTATGTACAATCCCAAAATTCCCTATTCCCCAGTTCAAATTAATGTACTTATAGTCCAGTGCAATTAGACAAAAAATGACCTTGACCCGGACAAAATTGATAACAGGCTGAAAATTGGTGGAAACGTTCAGAACAATGTCCTGAGTCGCCCACACAAAGTCCCAAGAAATCCCAGTTGGGGAACGGCCGCCATCTTGAAAAAACTGCCGCCATCTTGGAAATTTAGAATTTTTGCTGTATCTTTTGAAGTAATTGTCCGGAAGGCATTATTTATGTCTCAAATTAAGCGTTTTGAACTCATGTATGAGGGTATTAAAGAGTTTAATACGTTATAATCATAAATATTATTTATATTAACCTAAAAATATATCTATAAAAATGATAAAAATTTACAAAATATTTACAAAATGAAGCTTTTTCTCTTTTGTGCTTAATGAGCTCGTTAAAGCCATTGACCCTTTTGACATTTCTTGCAACCCATTATGCTTAGTCGTTGGAATTGGTTAAATACGGGGTGAATAAAAAGTCAAGACCCCCCCCCCTCTAATATTTTTCGTAGTGAATATACAGAGATGTATTTTTGGTGGTCGTCCAATTTTAGCAAGAAGTTTCATTTTATGATTTTTAAATATTCCCCCAAAAGGGGGGATTTTGGGGGCAACTGAAATATTTTAAACGTAAACCTTCTTTATACTGACATCTCATTTTAAAGTGTTTAAAAAAAGGGGTTTATGTGGGACACTCAAAAATTTTAAAATCATAAAATGAAACTGAAAATGAGTGTCCCCAAAAACTCCTTTTTGTAAACACTTTAAAATGAGATGTCACTTGAAGGGTGTTTACGTTTAACATATTTGAGTTGCCCCCAAAATCTCCCCTTTTTGGGGAACATTTATAAATTTCAAAATCATAAAATGAAACTTCCTGCTAAAATTGGACGACCACCAAAAGGACATCTCAATATATTCACTTAGAAAAATATTAAAAAGGGGGTTGTTGACTTTTTATTCACCTAAATGCTGTAATTTGTTATTTATTTATTTATTTATTCTAACGGTAAGATCACCAATTTACAATGTGGATTCAAGAAGCCTAAGTGGTAACCTTATGCATTTTAACAGAAAACTTAACTAACTTGAATCTATGGCAGGAGCAGAGCAACATCGGTAACAGGAAACATAATCATGACTAGGAAAGCAACAATTTAACAATGAAGTACAAAATAAAATATGAAAAATCAATTCATAATTTTGTTCGTTCCGATGTGAAAAATAGAATCATCTATATATCGTTGCTATAATTGATTACCATTATATTATAATATTGCATATAAACTTATAATGTAACTACTTGATGTTAAATGTTATTGTCGGTGATGTAATCTTCGTTGCGGTTGGCACACCCGTGTCCAATTCAGTATCCATACATCGTGGTGCAATTAAGACCATAAGGGTCGTTATACTGTATCCATGAATCCATTCCAACCTGGATTTGGTTCGTCACTCAGTTGGTAGTTAATGAGCCATAGGGTGTCAGCAAGACAAGCATCTACAACTATTTTTGGTTCGGAAAGGGCTGTACTGACATCTCCCAACACTACTTATGATTTCCTAGGCTTAGGCGGACGTTGGTAAGGTGTCACTGTGGCTGAAAGCCATTAGATGGAAGGACACTTTTTGCTTTTGGGATTGTAGATCGTGGTACAGGAGCACTTGCATTGACACATTTCGGCTGGTGTTATGCACTCAATGACACCCATTACGTGAAGTTTCATGTCCATCAAGTGTCTTAACGTTGTAATCCGCGTTGTCGAAAACATACTAAACGTAAGCTCCGTCATCTATTGAAGGTGAGACATCATCAGCTATCGAAGTCTCATAATGACGACCTTCTTGTATGTCGAGCAAACCCCGAGCTACGATAGAATGTCTATCGGCAACTTCGAGCCATACCGTCAGTGAAGGTCGAGCAGCAGGGACGATATAAAAGATCGTGGTCAATCTGCAGCAATAACTGCATGAGCTATATTAGTTGTCTCCTCTTTAAAGATTTATCATAGTTAAATGAATATTATATTTATATTGAACCAATTCCAAAGAAAGCATTGAGGACTGCAAGAAATCTCAATAGGGTTAATGGCTTAAACAAGTCCATTACGAAAAAAAGACAAAAAGCTTATTTTGTATATATATTGTATATTTATATCAATTATTTAAGATGGGGACGCCACTATGTGCGTATTTTAACAAAATATGAGTGAAGGATGAGTGTAGGATGAGTGGCGCGATCTTGTAGTCTTGTTAGTGACTAAGGCCGACATGTTCCTTAGACACAGATGTTAAATAATAGCCCATACAGCTAATGGCAACTAGGGGACCTACAGTTTATAGTGGAATCCGAACCACATTTTTCCTTCTATTTAACGAATTGGTCTAATTATCAGGATAGTACTGGATAGTCATAGTACTTACTAGTGCGGACGTTAACGCTGTTGGTAAGTTGCGGCCCAAACCTAATTTTGCGTATGAGTTGCGGCCCAGACTGAAAAAAGTGATGTACGAGTTGCGGCCCGAGTAAAAACAGGTTAATTACGGCCAAGGATATGGTTGGTTTAATGTTACAACAGATTATTGTGGTAGTTTGGTTTGCACTCCGTTGTACATAAGTTTATTTAAAAAATCCGGATTTTGAGTTGTACTCAGAGGTCAGCCCTATTTTCTGAATTCTTCTCCACCAACTCTGACCCAGATGGAAACGGCAACCCGGAATTAAAGCACTATGCAATTCTTCCTCGACTGCACTATGTACAGGGTGTCTCACGAGAGGTGTCTCAAATTGATTACGGAAAACGGCTTAACGTACAAGGACGAAATAAAATTATTTCCCGCTAAATCAACCCCAAGGAAAAACGTAAAAATATTTTTAATTTTTTCCCAATACAGAGGGTGCCAAAAACTGAGGGTCACTAGTTCGAATCTCGGAATTTTCAAATGTAAACATATAACATATAATATACTATAATATAATATAATATAACATATAACATATAATATAACATGTCATGTAAACATTTTGGCGAAAGCAGAAATTAATTTATTATCTTTTTCCGTTTCAAAATGGCGGATGTTTTTTTTTCATCTATATTTTTTAATACTCTGTGTTTCCTATACCAACGCATTTAGCCCTTCTCCGGTTGAATTTTCTTACTCGTTATGAAATTAGCTTCACTTTGATATGCTACAAGTAACGGTTTTTTGAAATGATAAAAATTCAAAAAAAAATATTTTTGAAAATTTGCAAATGCTCATTGTTCAAAATTTTCAAATAGCAACATATGTCAAGTGGCACATCATTTTATAGTTTATCCACACCAGGGAGCATCGCATCGACCGTTCATGCCTATACAAATCCACAATTCGTATAAAAGGGGGGACATAACCGTATATATATCATTATTATAGATATTTTTTTGGTTAATATAAATAAAATGTATACTTAGAACATAATAAACTCTTTAATTATATATTACCCTCATACATGAGTCCAAAACGTTTAATTTGAGACATAAATAAGGCCTTTCGGACAATTACTTCAAAAGATACAGCAAGAAATCTAAATTTCCAAGATGGCGGCAGTTTTTTCAAGATGGCGGCCGTTCCCCAACTGGGATTTCTTGGGACTTTGTGTGGGCCACTCAGGACATTGTTTTGAACATTTCCACCAATTTTCAGCCTGTTATCAATTTTGTCCGGGTCATAACCTAATTGCACTGGACTATTAGCACAATGTAATTTATCCCTTAGTACAAAAGGCTGCCAACGTCTTGCAATTCTGTTATTCAATGCTACCTCGAGTTGTATCAATAGCACATTGGTTACGAACACTAAATGACAGAAGGTTAGGACCAGTAGATAACAGAAGAGTGTTAGGAATACTAAACGACAAGGAATTATTAGTAGCACTCAATCAAAAGGAGAGTGTTAAGACCACTAAATAACAGGAGAGTGACATTGTCACAAAATTATTAGACAGAGAAAATGAAATTATAGGGATTTTAAATAACAAAAAGGTTTAAAACCAGTAATTTAAACGATATTCCCAGGACTACCAGATGACAGGATAGTCTTAGGGTCCTTTATGGAGAAAATGTGTTAAGGGCAATAACAGGAAAGGGTCAGGACCTCAAAATAACATAATGGGTTTAGATCCACTGGCACTAATTACCATAAAAGTGTTAGGAACTAAATACTGGTAAGAAAGTTTTTGGACAGGAAAACTTGAAATGTTAAGATAATTTGCGCTCCTCTGATTAGTCATTAATTGAGTCACTAGGCAATTAAATGTTGGTCAAGAAGGTTTATGTGATTCATAGTCAGGGGTACCAAACATTGGGATGATGATTAATAGAATTGTAGAAGTTAATATTAGAAACTTATTTTTACCCTATGTTAACATATTTAGTTTCATTCAATCATTAGTAATCATTCAAGTAAAATTATAATTTTCTCTTACAGCTTTTTACTATGAATAAAATGTAGGTATAGAATAAAAATATTAGTTTTAAAAAGTACTGTATACTAAACAGTACACCCTCTTGGTGGGCATTAAACAGACAAAATATTTTCACGTAGGAAGTTCATTATATTTATTACGTACCGTACAAAAGTAGTGGACGCGAAAAAATCTAACTAAGAAGATTTCGGGAATAAATTTAATGGTAAAAATACTATCAACAAAAGTATCCGTGTTTGTATGTCTAAAATGTTCTACTTTTGTATATTAACGACAACAATGTTTTCAACTAATTGTACGTACAAATTTCTTGAAAATTTAACTGTTGTTTCGAAACTAGTTACCCGAGAGGATTGCAGAAAAATCATAAATAAGTCGTGAAATTTAACCTCTGTAATGCAAATGTGCAAAATGTTTCTGGCCAACCTATTGTGAGTTTTTATCTAGGATTATTTCGTTAGTTATGTGAACTTTTAACATTATCAACAACAGTACTTACTTTGCAGCGCCCAAACATCCCCCTTCACCAAAGCTTTTTCGAACACATCCAAAGCTGCTGAACATGCTCCTGTATCCACACCGTTAACCGATTCCACGTCAAATTTCTTTAAACGCTTGACGAAATTCGCGGGAGACAACGCACTAACCAATTTTACATATCTTAAAAGCCTCAAAAAGTCACTTGTCTCAATAAAATCATTCTCAATTGATACATTCGCACTTTCATATGGGTTCCTTTGGTCACTTCCTAAGTCTTTTAGTTCTGCGTCTTCACTTATTTCTTGATCTACTGCATAGCCTAATCCTGAAACCTTAGCAGATTCCCCAATAGTACTCCATATACATAACACCATATAGAACACACAGTAGGAACACAACAACGCCATGACACGCCTCCGAGTTGGACGAAACAATGGCCTCGTGTGGCGCGGAAACATGATAAACAGTAGTTTTCAGTCAAATGCCTTATCAGCACAACTGTCACTGATTAGTTGGAGAACCACTCATATTCATGGTGACCTCATTCAAGATAAGACAGACTCATTGTTGAATTTGGTGGGAATTCTATTGTTTTAATTGTTCTTAGCTCATGGGATTCCCTTGGACGAATTGACATGACGCGATTGATACAAATTGCTATACGGAAGTTATGAAACGATGAGGATTTACCAATGGGGATGATAGCATGACTTCTTCTCAAAAAGTAATTGTTGATTTTGACAGAGGGAATTGACAGAATCGCTCAGGTGTACTAAATCTTAGTCATTATATTTGTAAGCAGATTATATTTTAGATGAAAACATAAGTCTACAATCTTGTTTTGGTAGATAATTTTGCCAGATTCTAATTCTAATTAAGTGCGACAAGTTTTTTAAGGCTAGCGTTTTTAGTGGGTAGCCAATGAGTTTATACCCCTTCGAAATCCCACCTACCAGTATTTGTCACGTTTCCCTAGGCCTATTTGTAAATATATTTGGTTACCTCCCGCTATCTCCGCGTCCCGCCACCTCCGTGTACCGCTATCTCCGAATTTCAGAGTGACACCTATAATCCTCGGTTACTTCCTGCGTTAAGACTTTCCGTCCAAACCTAACCTAAATTAAATTAACCTAACCTAACCTAACCTAACCTGACCTGACCTAACCTAACCTAACCCACGGGTTAAATTTTCATTCAATCTTCCATCCACGGGGCTTCGCAGCCGTGGATGCAATGACAGCTAACAACGCAGGCAGTGACGGGATTATAAGGGTCACTCAAGAATTCGGAGGTGGCGGGACAGATTTGGGTTCGGAGATGGCGGAACGCGGAGATAGTGGGAGCACACGATATATTTCCCGACCCTCCCACAAAAAGTAGAATTATTAAACAATTGTTTGACCGTTGGTTTATTAAAACTTTTAAATTTTTTTTGCATTTCTTATATTACATGAGCATTGGTTTCGGATCATAGCTCACAAGTTCAAATAATCTAACCTCTGAAAATGACCCACTCCACTAAGCATACATTTTATGCTAGGTTAAGGTTCAAAATGAAGCATTTTCATGTCTCAGTGTTAATACAAAAACCAATTATAATGTTACATTTGTAACTACGAAAGAACAGACCCAGAGAATAAAGAGACCAATTTGTTCTGAGATGTCATATTAGACTAACTTGAATCTGTAAAAATAGACAAGTGTGAGACATGGGTGGGGGGGGGGGAGGAGCACAAATCAAACCCAGATGTCAAGCCCACGAAGCATAATTTCATTTATTTTATGGCCTAAAATCTGGTTTTATTTAACTCGCAGTCATCCCCTCCAAGGAAGAAATGTGTTGAAACGTCTCCTGCAGAGTCTTGAAACAAGTAACAATTTTCACGATCTTTAGACAAATAGGAAAAGGGTTGTAGGAGGATTACGTTTTTCTTACCTAATGAATACTTTATTTTATCGATCATAACTTATGTACCTACCATATATATTGAACCATATTGAACTAGGAAATCGCAAATAGTTTCGACTAAAGGAGAATATAAAGACTAAAAGCAACTATCACAAAATACCATTTAAAGCTGATAAAAGACTCAAAGAGAAAAACTTTAAACAGAACATGAGAGAATATGTGAAACAGTATGACAAAATACGTTATTACAGGTATTATTAAGTATACATTCACTTATTTCGTGTTCAAATAAGCATGAAACATTCGCTAACAAATTCCGTATATATAAATCGTTCCTTTTTAGATTATAATGTGCACTCGACATTATTGTTTAGTAATGTAAAATAATTTAATGTAATGTAATGTAAAATACATAACTAGATTGTAATGATTTAGGATGCCTTGTTAAAATGTACGAATAAGACATATTTTGGCCAGCTACATTGTGGATGGCCGGTTTTAAATTTAGACTTCAATCGACTGTTAACTATCTGATAAATGGCTTTCTTGTTTTTTAGCTCATAAACTATGATTTGAATCGGTCTGTGACGAACTGTAAAAACCTTCAAAGGAAATGATGGAGAGATTTATTGAAATATTCAGTCCAAGAATAACTGGATATGAGGACTTTCAACATACAAACACTCTTTTGATTCCCTAGCAACTAATTTTTCGTTTGTGTTTTTTATAAACCAACAATTGTAAAAAGGCATATAGAATAACCAACTATATCAGCCCCTCATAGTTTTCCTTCTGCCAATTAGGATTTTATTGAAGATCAGAACGGTAATTCCTACAATTATATCTCCTTGATTATTTAAAACCTTAGCCTATGCATAGCAGATTTGAAACAATTAATGTTTAATTGTGTAGCCAAATATGCGATATCACCGCACAAATGCCAAACCTAACCCCTTTCTATTGCGGAGATGAAGCTTGGCATTTATCAGCATTTATCTGAAATTTCCTATAACGTCAAGATAGCTTCCTGTGGAAATTCCGATTTCATAAGAAACACGATTACAGAAGGTCTACATACTTATAATTTAAAGGCCGTAAGAAAGAATTGCAAAGCTATCGCAATATCGAAATCTCCTGTTGTAGATTGTATCTCTGATTGCACAGTATCTCTCTTGAGTGTTTGTTTCGCTATCAAACAAGAAGTCAGTACTTAAAACAGCTTAGAGAAAATTTTAGTCAGACCCAACAGTTACATCATGAATATTTTCTGAGAATGTATCAGCACCACATTATGATTCAAACAGTCTCATAGAAAACCCATGATTAAAATGCTACGAGTACAACTTGTTTGAACATGCTATGTATGTCCATTATGATAGCGATATTTTGTACTTTCGTACACATAAAGTTGTAAAATAAAACCGTTAGGTTAGGTTAGGTTAGGAAGATTTTGTTTTAAACTAATTGAAATCCTATTTGGAATTCTATTTATCGGTGTGGTATAGTAAGAAAGTAGCCGATATTATTACTGCAGTTCTTTAAAAATATAGTAGGTATTTTGAAATTTACTAAATACGTGTCATAAATAAAATGCAATTGTAAAGAAAAGCTTAAAGCTACTGCAAACCCTAATATACTAAATCCACCCAACCGAACAAAGAATTTTAATTGGGAAAGTCAAAAGCACCACAAGATCCTGTCTATCTTGTTTCCAAAACAAGTTGGATATTTTCAAAACGTCAAGTCTCTTAAGAACCGTCGGCATCGTGGTATATTGCTACAATTACTCAGAGAATAATGAGTCGCCATTCCAAAGCCGATTTCAATTGTTCTTTCATACTCTTGTCATCAGATATTTTGACTATTTCGGCCCAACTTCACAACCGGTTTCAATTATGGTGAGTGATCATTGGTATGTTTTTGAACATTTTACCGCGCGGTATTTTTATGTGGCATTGTCCTTTCGTTGCTAAAAGCAGAGTTTGCTGGGTGGATTTGGTAGATGTTTCAAATGTTGTGGGATAAATGTCTTTTAGATGAAACCTTTGTTTATTTCTAAATTAGTTTAATATTGTACTGGTTATTCAATTATTCGCTTACATGTAATATTGTTTTTCTAAGCAGTAACTTACAAAATAAAAGTATTTTATACTGTAAAAAGCTAAAACAGAGACGAAATAACTCTTTACTGTTTAAATAGTCGTAGTTACGTTATATTTTTAATTCGTTTTATTTTGGAAGTAGTTTTTTATTGCATTAAGATATTAACAATTTCAAACATGTGCTGAATCTGTTTGTGGATTTAATTAAGATTTACAGCTGGACGCAAATAATAAATACATTCCAGTAATGCTGACCATAGACAATAGTTATTTGTGTAACTAGTGGGCAAAGTGGCACTTTGCTGCACACGAGAGCAGCGGCTCGTGCGGAATGATCTCGAGTGCAGCAAAGGCCTTTTGCACTCGTGTTACACATTATATTTTTCCTACAGTCACTATAAAGCATATAAAAGCTGAACCTAAAAACGTGTTGTATAGTGTATGAAAGACTAATTATTTATATCATATAAATAATTAGTCTTTCATACACTATACAACACGTTTTTAGGTTCAGCTTGGAACACAAATAGGTGGCCTAGAGAAAGTAGTACCTGGTCCGTATCACCCCACTATTTTTCCTCGGCAAGAAATGTGCTCCGCGACTTGAGAATATAGTTCCGCATGTTTTTGTAATTTGAAGTGGTTTCCGCGCCTAATAAAAATGCTTTTAAGGTATTTTATTGTTTATTAAGATCGTAGGAATGTTTTAAAAATGTTTAAAAGAAAAGTCCAGAAATTTCAGAAATACCGAAACTATAAACACGGAATGACAGGTTAAATCTTAGTTATAATAGTCAATCAGCTGCTCATAGTATTATTATCTTTAAGTGTTGCCAACCTATTTCCAAGCGTACACAGATTACGTACATAATAGAACCACGCTGTTTTGTGTTGTTACGTTGGAATCCTGATGTGCGCCAAAGTATAAACCGTACGACAAAGTATAAACCGTACGACAAAGTATAAACCGTACGACAAAGTATAAATATGCAGCAATTAGCAGCTTTCTGTACTATAAACAGTACAAGGAAGCCAACTTTGTCGGGTGACTGTAGGAAAAAATAATTAAATATAGACTGTCAGCCATGTTGCGGTTACCATTGTTACCATAAGTTCTGGCGCACACTGTTGGGAGTGCCGTGTAGTTACGCAGCGCGTACGCATGACTACATGGCGCTCCCAGCGGTGTGCGCCAGAACCTATGGTAACTGCAGCACGCCTGACGGTCTATATTTAATTCTTTTTGTCTTTGTGCTGACTAAGCGATTTCTCATATCTTTTACTCTATGAGGCTTTAAACATTTCGTCACAATGTTGTTTGCAGGAAGTCGGATTGCAGATGACTCATACCTCTTTCAATCCATTGTAATATATGAAACAAAGTTGCTACTACGGTATGTTGCTTGACAATTTATTGAAGTATCAAAAT